TAGGTAAAGCTGACTACACTGTTAACATTGAATCCTGCAGCAGTGCTAGCTTTACTGGTGGTACTGCCTAACAACAAAGGAACACTTGATGCTCACAAGCAGCTCTGCAGTGGGATCGATAGAGTAAATATTACCAATAATGATCTGTATAAGAAATGGTTTGGGGCTTTCACAACAACAAGGGAATCAAAAGTAAAGGCTGTCTATAAGAAAATGAGGGATGGATTGGCAGGTAACACAGTTACTTATGTGAATGATGGCTCATACTGTGAGTTTGGTTGGTATGGCTATACCTGGAGAGCTTCAGATAGACCTGGTCTCAATACTGTTTGGCTTTGCTCTCTTTTTTATAGATTTCCTGTTTCTTGTGGAAGCCCTGGTACTTACACCAAGGAGTTTGGACTCATTCATGAATGGAGTCATGCTTTTGGTGATACAGATGATCATGTATATGGCTCCTCTGAAAGTCAAGACTTGGCTAAAACCGATCCTGATAAAGCAGTGGCAAATGCTGATAGCTATGGATGGCATTACTGTGAATGGCAGTAACTGGTTCAGGCCATTCATCAAAGCCAAGAACTTAACATTAGGACTCATGCAACACTATAGGACATGCACTTTTCTTTAATAATAAATAATTGTAATTAATCATCACATTTTGATTTCTTGGCTTAATAAAACAATAATTTTCAAAATTGAGAATTTGTACAGTACATGACATTGCGAGCTTTACAGAATGTACTATTGATGCCCTCAAACTTTGACAGGCTACATCATAATTATTTACGAATGAATTCATGTCACTGTTCATGATATTAGCCAGCATGAGTCCAGCTCTCTTGCTCAAAATTATTTTCTCCATATTTTGGTAGCAACAATGATGCACTTCACTGTTACAATTAGGTCTTTGCTGCATTTTTTTATAAATTAATTTAAAGGGTAACTGCACCCCAAAATTTTTTTGCCTGGAATAAGTTGGTAATGAAGAGAGAATAATAGGAAAAATAGCTAAAATTATTAAAAAGTACTGTTTCTGTACTAAATCTTGGGTCAAAACTTGTAATTTTTTGCCTTACAGCCATCTTGTCAAATCACTTCCGGTGGTGGGCGTGGTCACGCAATGACGTAGATGGGGGAACATTAGCAAGTGTCTGCATTAAAATATTAGCAACTTTAAGGCTGGATTTCTAAATTCTGCGTGCAATAAAGCAGCTAAGAGGTATTTTGCAATTATTAGAAGTTATGCAGAGCTAAATTATGCAGTCAAAATTTAAACTTGCCGTTTAGTAGTTTTTTCAAATAGATCATGTCCAGCAATGAGTGGACGCGGATTAGTATACTGAGCAATTATCTCCGTATACTACTGGTTGACTTTATACAGGGCAGGAATGGACATTTCCATTTATTAGGCTATATCTTTCTTCAGAATAAGTCTCATCAATTTGCGCACTTCAGTAGCTGTTCTCCATAATTATACCTGTGTTCCTGCTAAATATGACAGCACTTGGAGTAACTTTGTGTGGAACATTTGCAGATTAAAGATGAGGCAGTCAGTGCCGCCATTTTTGTCATTCCTTTATGTATGTATGATAATTTTTTTACTTTTTGAATGGTTATATCTAAATTTCAAACAATTTTTGACAAATTGCGCACTTATTTTGTGAAAGTACAACATTTTTACTGCCCAATCATGCAAAAAAGATAAAAAAATTCAAAACTTTGTTCGGTACTTTAGTCTTCTAAAGGTGAAATAATTTTAGTCGTCTCAGTGATAACCTCGGTGATAACGGGTGCAGCAACAAGAGTGATCAAGTGCTTTTCTCTTCTCACGGGAATAATAAAGTAAAACTAAGAGTGCTTAACAGCTATACAAGCAAATCATGTCTCTAGATCCTTTTAAAGTAATAGCAAGAAGGCCTTTTGTTAGTGGATGAGTCTTCTTGCGCCACGCCTGCCACTTTAACAATAGAATATGAAAAAACTACCATAACCAATTGCATTAAGTAGCATTCAAGAAGCTCCAAGAATCTAGTGAAGTCCCATCCATGAACCAGAAAGACGTTAGCAGGCTTTGTAGTGAAGCTTCCTATCAATCCACCATTGCTGAGCTGCCGTTGCTATGGTAATTCCAATGAATATCATTAAATTAATGCGACCGGAAGTCCCATTGCAATAGCTGGACATGTAGATTTTGTTACCAGTATAACTGCTTGTAGTTAGCTCTTGATTAGTTCTATATGGTCCACTTCATTAAAATTGCTTTATTGCATGCAGAACTTAGAAATCCAGCCTTAAAGTTGCTAATATTTCAATGCAGAAACTTGCTAATGTTCCCCCATCTACGTCATCGCGTGACCACGCCCACCACCGGAAGTGATTTGACAAGATGGCTGTAAGGCAAAAAATTACAAGTTTTGACCCAAGATTTAGTACAGAATTGGTACTTTTTAATAATTTTAGCTATTTTTCCTATGATTCTTTCTTTATTACCAACTTATTTCAGGGAAAAAATTTTTTGGGTGCAGTTACCCTTTAAACAAACAAGCCACAAAGTAAAATATCTTACTGAATTTATAATAAACTAGACAAATGTAAAACATTGAAGGGGCGAGCCTAAGCAAGCAAAGCAATGTACATACAATAGATTTCAACAGACTAACAAGACTCAAGTGATGGAGTGTAGTGTAGTCAATGATCTACCTTTAATTGTACATCAATTAAAGTTTAGCATTTATAGTAAAAAATTTTCATGGTCCCAAAATTTCACAAATTCATCCAAAAATTTATTTTGTGGTTTAAATTTTCCTGATTTTCTCATATTGAACCGATTCTTGGGAGATTTCATTTTCATAAATTTTAAATAAATCACAAAACTCACAAAAAGTTTGGGCCACAAAAGATTCTAGCTATCGCCTATCAGTATTATTATTATTATTATTATTATACAAAAGCTAACTTGCTCCTGGTGGCATTGACTCCACTTTCTTCCTTGAGCTCTTCTTGGCCTGTTTCTGCAATTGAGGAGTTCTCTTAGTCTCTATATTAAACTCGGCCCCTATCATTCCTAATATAACCAGAGCCGTCATCTGCTGTTGCTGCGTGGGTGTGGCCTGTGTCACACCCACATCATAATAATCAGGCTCATCCTAATTAATGCCCAATAAGGTCATGTAATATTCATGTGACTAACGTGTGATTTCGGTCGATGATCGTGAGTTGTTTTGAAAGAGCTTGGAGAGTGTAGCTTACTAGACCAGTGAGAGACTAGCTGTAATCTTCCTTTCACGCCAACACGTCTTAACTCGGACTGCAATAAAGCCTGAGCTGCCTCTCTTATCTGGAGAGAAGATAAAAGGGAGAAAATTAGGGGAATAAGATAGAAAAAGTATTAGAAAAGCGTAAGTAAAATTTAAAATTAAAAGGAGAGAGAAAGTGAAATAGAAAGAGATGATTAAGAGAGGAAGAGAGAGGGTGGAGGGAGAGAGAGGGGGAGGGAGAGAGAGAGGGAGAGAGGGAGGGAAGGAGAGAGAGAGGGAGAGAAAGAGAGAGGGAGGGAGAGAAAGAGAAAGGGAGGGAGAGAGAGGGAGGGAGGGGAGGGAGAGAGAGAGAATAAAAAGTAAGGTGAAGGTTCCTTACAGCCTGTGTAGGGTCCATAAAGCGAGATGCCAGTACTGGTAGATGAGGTGGTCTGAAGTAGTCAGCCATTCTCTCAGGGAGCATTACACAATGGAGTGCAGCAACCTTGGACCAGGTTCCTCTTATTAGGTTGTCACGTAACGTGTGATCATCTTCATCAGAGGAACCGTCGTCGGATTCTGTGCTCTCACTAGCTAACCTCCTGTTGACACCTGTAGAGGAGGAGAGAGGGGAGAGAGAGAGAGACAGGGGAAGGAGAAAAAGAAAATTAAAGAGGAGAAAAAAAGAAGGGGAACAAGGAAAAATTCAAAATGAGACAGAGTGTAGAAAAATACATGTATACATGTAAATTGAAGGATTTTAGTTTAAAAAATAAGAACTGTTCATTAAGCTACGATTCTCATAGTTTCAAACAAATCTGTGGCCTTGTCACGGAATAACTTGTCCTGGCAAAAATTATTTTAGTACAATTTACATTAGAGGTTAGGTTTAGGGTTTAGGGTTTATATTTATACCGTATAGCGCTTTATTTTGGCGGCGCTTTATTTTGGTGATTTTGCTGTAAAATTGTAATTGGCGGTTTTTAATTTGGCGATTTTTGTGTACACGTGCATTACTGAGCATGCGCATTAATGATTGGCGGTTTTAATATTGGCAATTCTGCTTGCAAACCGCCATTCGCCAAAATAAAACTCCGCCAAATTAAAGCGTTATACGGTAATACACGTGGAAGTACAAAGCCAGGACATTTTTTTTGCCCAGACAAAAAAATTCGTATGCAAGAGTAAATTGGATGAGCATGAAACGTACACCTGTACATGTACACTATGTACATGTACAATGTAAATATAAATGTACATGTACAATAATATACATGTACATGTAGCATATTATTGTACTAACCAGATCCAGTAGCTAGCATATGAGCTCCCCAGGTCTGATTCATCAGTGTGTTAGTGATGGATACCACAGTTAGTAAATGCTGTGTGGTTAATGATCTTGACAACTGCCACCTAACATGATTCAATAGTTCAGACTGGATCCCTTCCTCATTGATGTCCTTCTCCTCCTCTCTCCTTCCCTCCTCCTCCTCTAGACTGACAGGAACTGTTAATGACCTCTCCTTGTGTACAGAGAGTGTGGCATTGATGGCACCTGTCAACAACAACAACAACAACAACAATAACAACAACAACAATAAAAAAATTAACAATACCGTATAGTGGGAAAATTTGGAGGGACTAAAATTTGGTAGATTGCAAAATTTTGGCAATTGGCGAATTAGTGGCCACGTGCCATTGAGTATGTGTATAATAGCTCAAAATGGCAGGTTTTATTCTGGCAAATAGCTATCAAAATGCCAAATTCACCAAATTTAATTCCCTCCAAAATTTCCCACTATATGGTACTTACTATTAATAACAATAACACTATGACTGTACAAAATTTTTAGTGTGTAAAATTTATAAGCTCAATCTTAATTTTAAAATTCAAGGGATTAAATTTTGTATTTTTCATGCATGCACATGCATTAAGTACAAGTACTGTACATGTACATGTACATGTACTGTGTATCCATCTAAAGGTATTGATTTTTGTGGGTAATTAAAATCTATGAAATTAAATATTTCCACAAAATTTTATGCCCACGTGACAATAATACTAATAACAAGTCAACTATAATAATAATATAATAACAAACAAAAACAACAACAATATTACCATTACCAACAAAACATTAATTACTTTGCGTTTCTGATAGTTGGTTCAGTAGCAATAAATCATCTACAGCTACTCCTGGATTATTATGAACAGGTGCTGGACTCTCTTTAACCAGTCCCCAGCCAGGCAGTACCAGTGAGAGTGCTCCTCCTTTACTTGTTAAACCGAATGAGACAGGACAGGATGGTCTTACTAATCCTAATGTATCCTCACATTCTCTACATAACAATGAAAACAAAAATAAATGCTATTAACTACATGTACATGTAATACCATACAAAATGATTTATTAGCGGGAGTAATATTTGGCAAATTTGCCTGTGGAAAGAAATTGGTGGATTTTATATTGGCAATTTCTTCATAGAACCACCAATCGCGAATATTCATTCCTCGCCAATAAATCATCTTGTACGGTATATAATAAATAATAATAAAACTAGACAAATTATTAAGTGATTCACCTCAGTGCATGCATACACAAAAGTACATGTACATGTGTCATTTCAATATTTCACGATCATTTATATCAATTGACGTATAATTATTGGTGGGGAATTAATATCAGTTGGAGTGAACATCCACCAATATAAAATCTCCCATTTTATTTCATTCTGAACATGCTTAATAATATGTGGCTACTAAATCACCAATATACATGTACATGTCCATGGAAAATCTACCAATTGCAAATTGCCAAATTCAACTGCTACCAATAATTAAGTTCCAACTGTAAGAAAGACACCCAGTCACAATATGAACAATACAAAAGTACAATGTTTCATTATCCATAATATCATTTCCCATACAATGTTTATTAGTGCTAATTCAAATACTAACTTGTCCAGTGTGTTGTCAAGGTTCCATGCATGAAGGCATGATACTAGGAGTCTAGCAGTGTTGATGGTAGTGTCTGGAGGCTCTGGCTTGATAACCTCTGACTTAACACCAGCCACTGCATCACCTAATGAATTATGATTAATAATAATTAATAATAATATTGTGGCTTTTGAAGTCCTTACTCTCAGTCATTCAGTGGATGGTGTGGTATAAACTACATGTATTTCTATGCTTACATGTATATGTACATGTACATGTAGGTTTAATTTTTTGTTGGCTTTATTGTTTATGTTGTTGCGTATAATAATAATAATGATAATAGAAATGAATGAATCAATCAATGAAATTACCAATTTTTTCAAGAGCTTTGGCTTGTTCCCGAGGAGAAGCATGACTAGCATCAGGTTGACCACTTTTACTAAATAAAAAAAAAAGAAAAGAGCTAAGTTTCAATAATTAATTGCTATAATATTGATCTAAATGTACATGTACAAACAAGTCACTTCTATACATCTTCATGTACATGTACAATTGTACATGTAAAGTCTAACAATTGTATTATTTACAAGTCTTGACCATGTACATGTACATGTACATGCCACTAAAACTGAAATAATTTCATAGTTAGTCAGTTTCAGTCCTTCAAAGTTACACAATACATAATAGATGTACATGTACATGTAGTTCAATCCATTTTTGGTAAAAAAAATATGTACATGTACATGTACATGTACATGCTCTTTCATCAATTACATGTAGTTACGGAACACAGTTCTTTTAAACACATGCACATGTACATGTATCTTAGTTAAAAAGAACTACATTTCACATACCGTTGTATAGATGGTGATATTTCAGATACGTTAAAGTTCTTCCTGGCTGATATGTATCGTCTGAAAGCTCTTGCATGTGGAGTGACGTCGCTGACTGGGCGTGGCTTAGAGACAACCTTCTCCATCTTCTGGAGCTTATTAATCAAATATTGAGGATCGAATAATAATATCTGAATCAATGAATATTCATGACCAAGAGACAGGCTACGGACCTATCAATAATAATAAAACCACAAATGCAATTAATAAAACTATTAACTAATGAGTAGTACTTTAAGCCTACTATTTTTAGCGTCTACTAAATTTAGCTATATTAGTGAGAGAGCTTTAAACCGCTAAATTAAATAGACGCCAAAATAATTATTATTCATTACAATGTTTATTATTTATAGTTAATTTGGTTAAAAACGCTAAAATTAGCAACGCTAAACATGACTTTTGCTGATTTCACTAAAATTAGTAGATGCAAATAATAGTAGGCTTAAGGTACATTTACATGTACATGTACACATACAAGTAGAATTGTAGATGTAAAGCACATGCAATTGCTATAATTACTGTAGATAATTAAATGTACATTGTACATGTAATATGGTCATTTAATATCATAAATTGCTAAATTCAAGAAATTAAATGAAGGTACATGAAAGAGTAACATTACCCTGTATAGCTCATGCCTCGTGGCCTTTGTGGCTAAATTTTAAAAGCAACTTCAAAATTTCAAATTTGATTGGTATCAGCTCAAACTTACTGCATGTACACAGTAGTATTACATGTTAGAAATGGAATTAAAATGGAGAAGCCATTTTTCTTGAAATACGATGTCCTATAGCCTAGGTCTTTGGCCAAATATCAATGTAGCACATGTACATGTACATGTGTGTATGTATAAATGATATCAATTAGTCAAGTACGTGTACATGTACCTACAATGTATATTACTTTAATTCATTTTAAAAGACCTACAGTACATGTACATGTACATGTACATGTAGCTATCATATTTCGATTACTATTACACTAGTATCATGTACAGAGTGTACATTAAATTTTTACTAAGCATGTACATGTAGTTATACACATGTCTTACTTGTATAGGAGAAGTCTGAGGTGAATTTATTAGTTTATTGGATGATATGGTATTATCTAATATTATCTTTGCAGTCTCTCCCTCAATGTACCTATCCAGTGTACCTAGTGATAAACCAGAAACAAAGACAGGACAATAATAATACACATTCACATTGTACCGTATAAGTGGTTTTTCAAGGGAATTATATTTCACAAAATCTACTATAAATTTCCAATTCCCAGATTTTAATCTCGCGAATTCTACCAAGTGCTATGTGGGTACCGTATTAAATTGATTTTTGTAGATTTAATTATTGTGAATCAGGAAGAAATCTGCAAATCCGAGATATTTGAAGCCCTCAAAAAACAGCTTATACACTACAACAGGATTCAATTATCATATCATCTTAATACAAAAATGGAAACACATGTACATGTACATGGAGGCTAAACATAAGAGTTAGTATCATCATCATCATCATCATTATTATCATATTAATATTACATTATTGTTATCACATAATCAGCAATCTGTGATAATAACTATCACACTGGCTGGTACTGAAATATGAGAAGGAGTTACCATAGGCGGCTGCAGGATTTCACTGCAAGTAGGGCAAAGGTGTGGCTAAAAGTGGGAGTGGTCAAAATGTAGGTGTGGCCATGACCACACCCACGTGTCTTGTTCTTGAGTTTTAAGACTGTTAAGACTTCTATTTCAGCATTTTGTGAAGAAATCAAGTAGAAAAGGCTCTGAAATTCTCAATGAAGAGTTAATCTGCCATTCTTGTGTTCAAAAGGAGAAAATTCAGTACCTAAAAGACCTCTATCAATGATAGAGTATCAGTAGCTGGGTGATTTAGCTGTTCAATGAGTCCTAGCTGACTATGATGATTAATAATGAAGCTGCTTTTATGATGGAGTCAGTTATTCTAGCTGCAGGTTACTGTAGATTATGCCTTCCTGAAGTGACCATAGATATAGACCTATGAAGCTTACTGTGAATAAACCATGCAGTTAGCAGCTTGTTCTCCACTAATTATCACTTTGTTTAGCAAAATAATGTAGTTTTTGTCATTAAAATAGCTATATTCCATGTAATAACTACTAAATAATTATTAATTAACTGCTAATTATGATGATGTCATCTTCCGGTAAGAAATTCTAGTAGGGCATTGCCCTCATTGCCTGCCCCTGCAGCCGCCTATGGGAGTTACAAGTACACATGTAAGCATAATCGAATTACACACATACACCATGTACAATGTATTAAAAATAAAAAATTAATTGTCAATGAACAAATTTAACTATTTGTTGTACACACAGAGGTGTGAATGGAATTACCAGTTTCAATTTGCCATACATAAAGTCCACCGCCCACACAATTAATTAGTAAGAAGTCTTCCTCCAGTCTCCAGT